TTTGATTATATCTAATGGTCAAAATTAAAATTTTTGTCCTAAGTTTAACATCAGGTTTATCACTAAACACAAGTTCTGCTTATAGATACTATTATTCGAATAAATACACTCCACCTGGACACATAAGTTTTTGCCAAGAGGAAGATTTATTATGCATTTTCCATAATGACCTATAGTCAACATCTTCAGGCAAAGATTGAAAAATTTTCGTAATTTTCATAAGTCATTAATTTAGGAAAAGAAAATGGAGACAGTAGAAAATTTTTAGATATTTAGAGGTAACTATAATAATTTTCAGATATTGGTTTCTAGTGTCTTAACTTAAATTTAAATAAAAAAAATATCATTTATTTATGTAAATTGGTATCATTCATTAAACATTGAAATATGCTTAATTTGCTTAATGTAGAAAAATGATTCAAATATATTTATTCTATAATCACGAATACTGCATTTCACTAGCATACCTTCAACTTGTGTTTCACAAAAATATTGAACTTTGAATGACCTGCTACGCTAGAAATAAAATTTAAAGAAATAATAAATCTACAGAAATTAAAAAGTTAGTGTCTTTAATAAACGGCAATTAAATCCATCTACAAAATATTTGATGAAAAATAATTATATAGTTAGTAAATCAATACATTTAGAGAAAAGTAGACAAAATTATTGTCAACTTTAATATTGAATATTAAAAAATTAAATTCTTCTTATAAAAATCGTTATTCAAGATTAAGCTCTACAAGTGTTGATCTTATTTCTAAATAGGTCAATTATTAACATTCACAATTCCCATTTTTCAAAGTCTGAACTTTTATATTAACATAAATTCACAATAAACTATTTAATAACATTTAAAAAAAGTAATAGAAAATCGATATTTTTTCTAGAAGATAATGAATTGTACTCATCATATTTAAAATCAAGTGTTATTCATATGTATAGCTAAACATAAATGTTAATATTAAAGGAAACTATGTGGGGAATGCCTTTATGATCATGGAGTTGATATAATCAAACAAACAGTTCCTATTGATAGATTTAGAGCAATGGTTATTTAGAAACTATAAGAATCAAAGTTAGAAGAGACATCTGAATTAAACAATTAAAGAATGAATTTCAAATCCACTCTTTCAAAAATTGAGAATTTGATAAGGAAAATTTTGGAAGAATTAGCAAAATCAATAAATAAAATATACGATAGGATTGATGAGGAAAATTAATAATACATTAATCTGATCAACGAAAATAGGAATCTAGCAGAATCCTCTTATAATGACTTAGAAAAATTAGTATCAATTTTAGAAGGAAACACATTAGATTAATGGAATGTCTAGAAAAATTTCTAGTTGAAAAAATTAGAAAATACAAAGACTTGGCTCAGTTAAGAAGTTAGCGCTTTTAATGAAAAGATAAATAAAGAAATGAATTAATTCAATTTAATTGGTTAATCAGAGTATTTATCAAATATTGTTTAAGAGGTGAAACCATTAATTAAATCTAAAATCCGAGATCAAATTTTAATTCAATCATAGCAAGAACAACAAAATTAATAAAAATCATTAATAAACTAATAATAATCATTGTAATAACTTAAATAACATAATTAACTCAATATTAAACAATTTAATTATTAGATAATTTAACAGAATTCTATCAAATAAGATGAATGGTGTTTAGCAGTTGCTTTTAATAAAGATAGTTCAATCGTAGCAGCTATATGTGATTAATAAATTAAAATATTTGAATAAAAATAGGGAATGTTGAAATTAAATTAAGTCTTAAATGAACATAAAACAAATGTGTTCACAATAAATTTTATGAAATAATCAAATTAGTTGATTTCTGGAGATGCAAAAGGATATATTTTGATTTGGTCATATGTTAATAATTCATGGATTTGTTCATAAACTATCAAAGACCATAGTAATTAAATTAGATGCTTAATTATAAATATTAATGAAGATCTATTTATATCAAGTAGTGATGATAATAATATTAAGTTTTGGGTTAAGGAAAATGGATGGATCTGCTAATAAACAATCACAGATCATCATCATTGGGTTTATCAATTAAGTTTAAATGAATAATAAAATCAAGTTGTATCGTGTGGAGAGGATAGTTAGATATTAGTAATTGAGAAATCAAAACTTAGTAAAAACTGGATTGTAAAATAAAAAATAAAAGTTGATCGTTTGGGATATCGATTATGCTTTATTAACGATAATCTTTTCACATTTCAACCTTGTTAAGGCAATTCTATGCATGTCTATGAAATGAATAGTGTAAGCAAATAGTTTTATAAGTCAAAACATATTAATATTAATCAAAATCATTAAATTTATGGTGGATTATTTCCATAATAATTTATTAAATAAAAATAGTTAATAGTGAATAAGCATGATAACTATATAAATTTAATAAGATTTACATAAAATGCTCAATTTAAAGTTGAATAATC